TGTGTGTGTGTGAGAGAGAGAGAGAGAATGAGAGTGTGTGTGTGTGAGAGAGAGAGCGAGAGAGTGTATGTGTGTGTGAGAGAGAGAGAGCGAGAGAGTGTATGTGTGTGTGTGTGTATGTGTGAGAGAGAGAGTGAGAGTGTGTATATGTGTGTGTGTGTATGTGTGTGAGAGAGTGTGTGAGTGTGTGTGTGTGTGTGTGTGTGTGTGTGAGAGAGAGAGAGTGCCTGTGTGTGTGTGAGTGTGTGGCTGGTCCTCACAGATTCAATGGGCTGTTGGAGGGTTAAGACTTTGTTTTAGAGGTTTGGGTTAGAATGAGGTTATAGTTAGGGTTATATTAGGTTTAGGCATTTAGATGTGATGGTTAAGGTTAGGGTGAGGGGCTAGGGAATGCATTATGTCAATGAGTGTCCTCACAATTATAGAGAGACGTGCATGTGTGTGTGCCTGTGCAAGTGTGTGTGTATAACATGTTGTACGTGGTACCAGGACTCTTTCATTCCATCAGTCCCCGCCTCTCATTCTTCTCTGCAGCTCACAGACTCTGCACTAGTGCAGTAATCACAGCTGGATTCCTCATCGCTGTATTCCTCATTATTTTTGTACTTTTTTCGTTTGTGTTTTTCGTTGTCATTGAATGAAGCTTGTTTGACACAGAGCAGCTCAAATGGTCTTTGGATCGAGATGACTTGTTTCTGCAAGATAAAACAATGGAGACTCCAAACTTTATTTTGGTTGCTTCTTTGCATCAGTGTTTTGCCAAGTAAGTTTACAGGCATTTTATTGTAAGTTTACCCGATGTGATCTAAAATTAAACCTGTAGTTCTTTGAAACTCTGAGCTATGAAAAATGTAAGAACATTTACATAAAAATGTCAGCCAACTCTAATTCACACTGGTTGTACTTAATTTGATTAATGCCACTGTTTTCGTATTTTATGGATCATTCATCTCTTCTCAGATGCTCCTTCCTCTTCCATGAAAGCTGTTACACAGAAACTTGCAGGCGGCTGTGCAGGGATTTTGCCATCATCATAATCCTGTAAACCTTCCTTTGTATGCAGCCCAGGGTTAACATCTGGCCAGCCCAAATCCAATGTTGACACTGGAAAAGAAGACCCAGTTAGAAGATCTGTTATATGTCCTTTCCATTTTGAAAACCTTTCACAACGTCATCTCACAAGTTTCCTTGTGACGTTATTAAGTTCATAAAACCTGAAGAATTATATTTAGATATATACTGTTTTTGGTTGAATAATTTCTAACATCACTCTTTTCATGGTACATGGATGCATAATCTCCCTGTTTAGACTCGTTTTGATACTCGCATGTTGTGCATCCAGTGGATTAAATGTTCAATCAACACATGCTACACTCCACATGCACAGGCTGAACAGAGGAAGTCGCTTGCTGGTACATAATGTCAGATTTGCCTGATCTCTTTCCAGAGCTTTACAGCAATCTAACCCCCACATCCCATTTGTCCCCTTCCACCATCTGCCAGATTCTCTCCCATGTTCTCTTTTATTCCCCACCTCAGCATCCACTGCTCAAGACAGAAAATATAAATACATAAAATGTGAAACTGAAACAAAAGTAACTGAAATAAAACAGATGCTTTGTGGTGATGTAACTGTATCTTTCTCTGTCTCAGCCTGTTGGTGTGCAAACGGGAAGTACGCTCAGAAGCTCCTGAAAGATTTATTCACCAACTACACGAGTGCACTGAGGCCTGTGGAGGACACAAACAACATCCTGAATGTGACCCTGCAGGTTACACTGTCCCAAATTATCGACATGGTAAAACACCACAGTGGACACAAGATTAACTGTCGAGACAACAACCGGTCGATTCATTGATTAGTCAGTTCACAGAATCAATAAATCATTTCAGTCATATTTAAGCAACATTTTTCTTATGCAAATCCAACCTCTCAAACTGGAAAAATCTCTTTATATCATTATAATCTGAATATCTTTGCATTTTCGTCCTATGGTTGAACAAACGAGTGATTCAAAGTCATAACTTTAGGCTCTATCCTAGTGCTAATGCCCTCACACTGGCATCAAACCAATGCCACTTATATATTTTGTCCTGTTTAACTAAATATGTTTCTTCTATCTTTTTTTTCTTTCACATTTTCAATTGTCGTTGTACAGGATGAGCGAAACCAAATTTTGACTGCATATTTATGGATACGACAAGTGTGGGTTGACGCTCACCTCAAATGGAGTAAAGATGATTACGATGGACTCGATACCATCCGCATACCTAGTAGTTATGTATGGAGACCTGATATAGTCCTATATAACAAGTAGGTCGGACTGGTATTGGGTTAATCATTCCACTCCTGTTTTGCCGTGACTCTTATTGGTCAGAATACTTGGCACAAGCTGAACAGTCCTTGAAGTGATTCACCGGAGTGTCCAGGCCTCTGTCTGATTTCTATTCACCAGTAATGCAACTAATGTTTTTGTCCATGCAGCTCAAAATAAAAACAATGAAAGCATATTCATAGTTTATTTCATAATCAATTTTAAACTTAAATTAGAGACACAAGGGGGAGAATGAAGTGTTGCATGAGTAGAACAAGCCTTGATGAGATGGTGAGAAGTCATTACATTGTTTCTAAAAACATCATGTGGGGTCAACACATGCTTAAATATGTAAACACAAACATTTTGCATTACTGAAATGATATAAAATGCAGACACAACACTGAGGAAAAAGTCAAACTCTCCAAAAGGAGTTGATTTATCCCTCAGTAGGCGTCCTTGTGCCTTTGTATCCTGATCAATTTTTCTCCACCTACTCCAGGAAGTAATTTTTTTAAAAGTACGCCTTTTTTCCAGACAAGTTTTCTTTGTGTTTCAGTGCAGACAATCATTTCACTGGCCCCATGGACACCAATGTGGTGATCCGACACAATGGGGAGATCATGTGGGATTCCCCGGCTATCACCAAGAGTTCTTGCAAAGTGGACGTGTCTTTCTTCCCCTTCGATGCCCAGCAGTGCAGGTTCACGTACGGCTCCTGGACCTACAATGGGAACCAGCTGGACATCCTGAACGCCATGGAGAGCGCGGACCTGGCTGACCTGGTGGACAACGTGGAATGGGAGGTGCTGGGCATGGCTGCCAAGAAAAACATCATCCTGTACGGCTGCTGCGCTGACCCTTACCCGGACGTGACCTACACACTGAAACTGAAGAGAAGAGCTTCCTTCTACGTCTTCAACTTGCTCATTCCGTGTGTGATGATCTCTTTCCTGGCTCCACTGGGCTTCTACCTGCCGGCTGACTCTGGAGAGAAGGTGTCTTTGGGGGTCACCGTGATGCTAGCCCTCACTGTCTTTCAGCTGCTGGTTGCAGAGATCATGCCGCCCTCTGAGAACGTACCTCTTATTGGTAAGTGTGAGGTCAAAGTTATTGAGGTAAAAGTCTGTTGATTTCCTCATTTTATTTTCTTCCACAGGAAAGTATTACATCGCAACCATGACCATGATCACAGCCTCCACTGCCCTGACCATCTTCATCATGAACATACACCACTGTGGCCCTGATGCCAAGCCCGTTCCCAAGTGGGCCAAGACAGTCATTCTGCAGTACATGGCCAGAATGTGCTTTGTCTATGAAGTTGGAGAAAACTGCATGTCGCCACAACCAGAGAAGCAGGAGCTTCCGCTTGTACCGAACACCAACTGCACCATGAACGGTCAGGCAGGAGCAGGCCGAGAGGACTGTGTCTTCAAAATGGAGCAAGAGACGGATAATGCAGAGGAGAGCGAGGACATCGATCAGATGATGAGTCCGATAGGCTCAATTGGGAAGAACCCCACAAACCACTACGGCGCATGGAAAAACGGCATTTTCATGAGCATGGACTGTGGAGATGGAGCGGGTCCGAGGAGGTGCAGGAAACCAGGTGTTAGCGACGGAGAGAGAAAAGACAGAGAGACGTCCTGCAGTGGCCAAAGCAATGAGAGGCAGCTGCTGCGTAACATTGAGTACATAGCCAACTGTTACAGGGATCAGAGGGCCACGCAGAAAAGGACTGGGGAGTGGAAGAAGGTGGCCAAAGTTTTAGATCGCTTCTTCATGTGGATATTTTTCATAATGGTGTTTTTAATGAGCCTGCTCATCATGGGAAAAGCCATCTAAGTGCAAACATTGGTGTGCATATCACAAATATCCTTACAAGGTCACAGAGGAGCTATTAGGTTCTATATTTCATCCAGAAATGTAATAAACAGTCAGCTTTCTAAGGCTCTTAGAAACATCTGCCCTCCTGCAGCCCTGACTATAATTAAATCTTTGATAAACTTCTTATTTATGAGTTTTGTTGTTGACAACTTGCATTCCTTCATTTTTAACCTAATGTTATATTAAGTTTTGAAGCTCAGCCCTGAAATAGCAAATTAAATCAAAACATTTTTCAAGCAGTGCTCAATCCACAATTTTGAGCTTTTATTTAGAAAATGTTTTTGTAACGCAACATTTATTTTGTGATATCAGAAGTAACGGGTGAAAAGATTCACACAAGCTGGTGACCAATAAATATGATATCTGCTGCTGCTTCACAAGTTCTTTGTTTTATTATATCTATTTTGTTAAGGAGCTTCAGTGCAGATGCAGTGTAAAATATTTGCAGCCTGTAACTGATTCATTACATCTGTCAAGGAGATTGTGTTTTCCAGTGTGTATGGTTTATTTGTTTGGAGGATTATGCAGAAAGTACTACCAAAGTACTACTTTGGTATGAATGTGGATTTTAAATTAGAATTAGAAATTCATTATTTAGATTATCAGATCCCTTTCTATTTCTTTATTCCATTCCTACTATAAAAAATGTGTGGTGACATGTGTGGGGTTGTTTAGCCTTGGCAGAGGTGCCTCTGAATTTCATTCTAGTCATTTGATTAATGGAACTGAAAACATTTCCTTTTACCAATTTATATAAATATAAAAAATAAGTGGACACAGAAATACACATTGTGAGGTTAAATATGTACATGTATTTAATTCAATGAACACAATTTAATTAAATGCAACAATCACCCAGTTTTAACAGAGAATGTTGAGAAATACAACCAGGCAATGGTTCTGTGTGTGAAAACATGACATTAGAAAACAAGTCTCAGAGTCACTGTCATGGATTATCTGTTAAATCCCCTGGATCACAACCATTTGCCTCCTTCTTGTCGAGTATTATCCCCGACCTTTAGGTCACAAAATGGACTATGACTCTTTAATCTGAGCCCAATGGAAAGCAGACTGAATGCTGCATCAGCAGAACTGTGTTTTTAATCACATTTGAATATTAAAACTCTTTGGAAAACTTCAAATTCCACAGTATTTCAATTCTACAATTCAGGGACAACTTGATAAGACCACTAGCTGACCTAAATAGATCATAGATTTGTTACAGCAAAAGGTTTTTGGAAGGCAAGAGCTGATTTATTTTACGCTGATAAACATCCCTGTAACTAAATGAGAATAAAAATGCCAACATACTCAAATGCAGTCTCTTCTGATCCTTATTACTATAGCAACGACAATCAAAGTGAGTAAACACAACCCAAAGTAAGTTAAAAGGGAATCATTGCATGCAACTGAAACAGGCATCTTTGTATAAAAACATTTTAGTTTAGGATCTAGTCATTCTGTTAAATCTGTCTTTATGTTTTGAGCATAGTAAAATAGGAGATGTTAGATTGCATTCATCTTCCTTTGCATTATTTGAATAATTTTATCACGTAATAATCTCGTTTGCATTCCATAAATGATCGGATTTAAATTAGCAGGGATCACATGAAACAGAATATATGCAATCTTCCTTAAATCTGGGTAATTTGGGAAACGATGCAAAATGATGGTTAAAAATCCTGACCAGAGCATAATGAGGTACAGGACGAGGTGGCTCGCACAGGTTTGCAGAGCTCTGTTGTTCAGCTCCTTGTTTTTCTTGATCCAGCAGATGAGGGCTATTCTGAAGTAGGTGACAGCTATGCCTCCGATTGAACAACTGAACAGCAGCACGGTGAAGAAGAGTCCATAGATGTTGTTGGCTGACACGTCCTCACATGAAAGCTTGAACAGTGACGCATTGTCACAATAAGCGTTTTGTATAACTGACCTACAACGAGAGAGCCTCACTGTCAGACCCATCAGAACAGACACGAGCACCAACGACACCCCCCACGCGGTCACCGACAGGCCGATCACTGCTCTGGTTGTCATTATGGAGTGGTACCTGAGCGGGTGACATATGGCCACATATCTGTCAATGGCCATAATGACGAGGATCATGTGCGAGGCCGAGCCAAACGTGTGGCTGTGAAAGGCTTGAACCACGCACTGGTTGTAGGTGATGAAGCGCTCGGTGGAGATGACGTGAGCCATCAGCCGAGGCAGCAGCACGGTGTTACCTATGAGATCGTTGACGGGCAGGTTACAAAAGAGTATGTACATGGGCTGGTGCAAACTCTTCTCGGTGATGATGAGTGCCAGAATGCCGATGTTGGAGAAAAGCAGGGAGAAGTACACAAACAGCAGCAAGAAGAACACGGGGTATGTAAACTCTGGAGAAATGTCAAAACCTTGGATTTGCAGGATGTCACTTGCAACTGTCGTGTTTCTTTCCATTCTGTTCAATGTGATGGAAAAACTGCAAGAGAAAAAAAAACGCTTTACCGGGAGTAAAATAAAATACACTGAAACAACTAATTTATATCAATATATTGAGTTCCATATTCCATTTTTGCTGGACATTAAATTTTTTGGTCTGAAATGACATAAAGTAAATATTAACTGAGAATATTTACATTAACTTGTCAGAAAAACTTACTGCATGTAAACACAATACTTACATTTTAATTATTCATTTCAATCTTCTTCTATTCTCCTGTAAAAAAACAACTCATCATCAGAGCACTAAGGAAGACACAATTAGATGATCAAAATAAAATTGACCACAAAGATGCAGAGTGGTGGCATTAGTGACAATAAATGTGATGTAGACCTATATCCTTTAAATATATAAACCAGCAAAACCTATGAGCAGACACAGTCCCGGGGTGAACTAACCGACAGATACAGTAGGTGACAGTAACTTGCCTGTGGTGGAGAGAATCTGGACTCAGCAGCTGCATTTTGATCTCTTTTATCCTCAGTGTGAGAAAAACGCATGACATCAACACAATGTCTTCCCCATTAGGACGGTTGTGTTTTTATTCAACAGGGGTTAGAACCCCCTCTACAATAGAATCCTAGGTGGAGATGTTTAGAAATATCTACCCTGAGGTCAGAGGTCAGATGCACCTCTAATAAAAGAGATATCACACTCTTTTTGTGCAGTAATAGTTTTTGCCAAGGTCTGTTATTGCGTTTGATGGTTCGTTTGATTTTCAGCAGTGTTACACAAAAATCCGTAATCTACAGTCGCAGAGAGAGCTCAGCGCACTGGAAATTACAAAAACAACTCCATCAATTTGACGACACATGCTCTGCAGAAAGTCACAACACATGCATCTACAGAAACTCGCTGCAAATATGAGATAACAACACCGGAAATGTTTCTATGGGACCCAAAAAAGTGATGAGCCTGGCTGTAGTTCAATGCTTTGTGAAGTTCCATCACCACTGACGAGCAGCAGACTTCAATAACTTCACAAAGCAGTGTGGTCTATGGAGGATACAGAAATAGCTTTTTTTATTTTCAAGTACATAACAACAAGGCTGAAAGAGTTTAAAATACAATTCATTTTAGCGTGTTGTGGTTGAGAATAAACTCATACAATCTCTGACATAGATGGCCACCGATCACAGATCTGCACAATGCAAGTGTGCAAGGACAAGACCACAGAAAATAATCATGAGGTCAAATCAATTTACAAACTCAAGGGTCCATCACATCCATTTTCTCTTGGGAGAGGTGATGAGTCTAATGTCCTAATGTCCTAACGTCCTAACAATGTCCTTGTTCCCAAAGGCCCGATGTGACCATTTCAGTTCCACTCTGTTTCAATTAGTGTTTTTCTTCTGGGACACATGGACGTGAAAAAGAAAACAGGAAAAAGCCGAACAGTACTATTTTAATGTTATGTGTTTTTAATTCACTGAGTTATTTCACATATTGATACATACAAAGAACCGCTTGTTTGAAAACAATGTAGATTAAAAGAGGCTCAACACATTTTCAGCAAAGACTATGTTGTGTTGCTTTATGTTGAACTGTGAACTTAATACAAATGTTTTACACGATATTAACAATACTTAAGTAAAGTGAATAAATCAAATGTTATCGTATCTGTAACCTCCCGTGGGTGTAATTCAACAACATCCGTCATTAGCTAATAACAAAAGACGTCATTATCACCTGGAGGTTCGCTTATTGTCCAGGGAGTAATTACATCATGAGACAGTTAATAACAGATCATTTAATCATGTCCCAATGGGGCTCATTAATAAATTAGCTTTGGCAATGTAATGAGGCATCTATCTGATGTCATCCTGTCAACATGATATTGTTGCTTTCAATGTTTAGTCAATACGTTCTTGTATAAGATCATTTCCAGAATTATAAGTTATTGTGTCATATCATTATTTCTGTATTTTAATGAAAAGTAATGATGATAGAGTAAAGTTTGGAGCCTGATTTCTATGTCTAGATGTCTCATGAGTTCTATAGCCACAAAAATGTGACAGTGAAATTTTAAGTTTATAGTTTTGCTCATAGTTTGAGCACAATTGTGTAAAATAAATATAAAAAGACTGGATGGGACCACGATACAATAAGTACATTTGATAATCACCCAGTTTTAACAGAGAATGTTGAGAAATATGACCAGGCAATGGTTCTGTGTGTGAAAACATGACATTAGAAAACAAGTCTCAGAGTCACTGTCATGGATTATCTGTTAAATCCCCTGGATCACAACCATTTGCCTCCTTCTTGTCGAGTATTATCCCCGACCTTTAGGTCACAAAATGGACTATGACTCTTTAATCTGAGCCCAATGGAAAGCAGACTGAATGCTGCATCAGCAGAACTGTGTTTTTAATCACATTTGAATATTAAAACTCTTTGGAAATCTTCAAATTCCACATTTTTTCAATTCTACAATTCAGGGACAACTTGATAAGACCACTAGCTGACCTAA